TGGTGCCTTTCTGAGATTTATTGTATTTTAACATTTGTATGTATTTTAAAGTAAAATTTTGAACGCTTTATAAACACCCTGCTTTCTAATTAACAGTGAACATAAAATGTTAGCATGATAAATATCAAACATGCATATTAAGAAATATTCAGAATCAATCTATTATTTTTTTTTCTTTCTCTCCCTTGAAGGTAAGATTTAGCCTATGCTAGGTTTGGGAGAATGAATGTATAATTTGGACAAACACTTCCCTGAATACCAATATTACTTTATGTAGTAATTATAGGATTTTAAATGCCAATGAGTTGTTTCTTTTGTGTAAATTTATGAATGTAATAAAATGCTTTTGACAAGCTAATCAAATAAAACAATACAAAACAATATAGATTTAATTATCAGCTTTTTAAAGATTTTATGAACCAGATTGTCTCTATTGCCAGAATCACTTAGGTAATTTAGAAATCTCAGAATTCTCTTAAATATTTTATTTTGCTCTTAAAGTGAAAATCATGAATTTTTTTACATGCTTGCTGTTAAAAAAAAATCAACAATAGAAAAGTATAAAGAAAATGTAAAACCATTAAACCCTTTACACTTGGATAAAGCTATTATTGATATTTTACTGGGTATTCTGTAGACATCTCAGTATACACCCCCCCACACACAAATATAACACAGTTTTACATTAAAGGTTAACGCTGTACATTAAACTATATTCTGTTATTTATCTTTGAGGACTAGGTGATTTTTTTTATCTACTCTTTTGTTGTTCCCATGTTAATAAATACAGATGTGCATCATTATTTTTAATGGTGGTATTATATATATTATATAATATATACACACACCATAGTTTATCTAATCCTCTGTTGATATATAGATTGAATATTTTTCCTCTATTATGTGTCAATATCTTTGCACATTAGTTATTTTGCATTTGTACAATTATTTTCTTAAGACCAATGCCTGGACATTTGATTGCTGAGTCAAAGGGTAAATGTTGATGTATATTAATTGTCAAGCTGTCTTCCAGAATTGTTATCTCAGTTGATATTCCCACTAGCAAAGTGATAGAATGCCTGTGTTTTTGCCCACAATTTTCCACAGTCAATTGGATTTTGACTTTCTTCAAAATTGGCAAATGATCAAAATATATGTAATTGTTTAAAAGTTTGCATCTCTTTGATTATTAATGAAGGTTTACATATTTGCAAGTGCTTATTGGCAATTTGTATTTCTTCTTTTGTTAATTGCTTCATTATTTTAATCAGGATGGTTGTCTTTTTAATTGACCTGCATAAGATTTGTGAATATTGAGATATTATCATTTGGATTCCAACATTGTTATTTGGCTTTTAGCTCTGCACATAGTGATTTTTAAATTAAACTAAATGTCATTTGTTTATTTGCTTTTGTTTATAAAATTTTGTCACCAAATTATTAGTTTCATTTTATGGTTTCAAGCTTTTTAATTATAGTTAAGAATGGCCTTTGTCATCTCAGGATTGCAGAAATACTCACCTAGATGTTGTTATAATAGTAGTCTTAGGATTTAATTTTTTTACAAGATAAACTTTGATCCATCTGGGTTCTATATTTAATAAAGATAAAAATAAGCCAGTATTATTTTACGCCAATTGCTAACCAGTTGTCAGACTTTATGTCCAATATTTTACTACTGAATTAAAATAACACCTTCTTTTATATTAAATTCCCTTATATGTTTGAATTTACTTATGGGATCTATTCCAATTGATTGAGCTACCTCTTTTTGAATAGTTATTATTGGGCTTTTATTTCTGTGGCTTTATACTCTTTTTAAATAGAAAATATATATCTCTCTCTCCTCGTTATTCTTTTTCAGATTACCTTTTTTTCGTATTGACTTGATGAACTTTAAAATAATTTGGTTAAATTAGCAAAAACCCTGCCAAGTTATTCACTTGGGTTTGTATGACACTTATGGATTAATTAAGGAAAATTGGCACTTGTATAATATCGAACTTTTTTTACTGAAGAAAAAGGCTAGTTTTTTCTATGTATTTAAATATTATTTTATCTCTCTCAGTCTCATTTTTAGTTTTCTTCATATAGTCCCTGAATATTTTTAAAGTTTTTCTTAGATATTTTAAATTTTTTGGTTCTTGTCAATGGAATTATTTCCCCCAGAATATTTTCTGAATGTTAATTGTTAAAGTATGGGCTTTTGTTTATTTGTTTTATATCCAGACACTTTAGTGCACTCTCACATTTTTTTTTCCTAGTAATCTTTTAGTTGATTTTAGCCTTCTCAAGTCTCACCAAATGGTACTCAGTAGACTAAAGAATAAATATAATTACCTTACTGTAGACTATGACTTGAAAAATGGAGCCTAAAATAGAACAGAGTTTATGGAATATAATTTGTACATCCAGGGCAGACTGAATACGGGCCAATCAATATATTGATTTATAAGATTACTTAATATTCTGAGATGTCCTTTGATACTCCATTAATATCTCAGGATTCATTTTTGTGAACTCTGTGTGATTTATGTAGACGGGGGAGAAAGGTGGGATTTTTAATTAAGATTGCAGGTGTAGTCCCTTGTTCTAGTAAAGAAAATGCGGAGTAAAGGAAAACTGAATGAACTTCTCAACACAAGAGTTGAACAGGTTGTAAATTGCCAATTTTTTATACCCCACAGATAAAACACAATTTCTTTTCTTGTCACGAGTCATCCTCCTTCCTCCTTCAAACATACGCCTATTGCTTCAACCACCCACCAGATCAGTAACCCCACGCCCATAAGGAGGCGTAAGATGGTCTGACAGTGCCATCTCGTGGCCACCTGGGGAATTGTATGAATTAACCTCTACCTGTTGGACTCCAGTGGTGGTTGGTGTCTTGGATGCCAGATCCAGACTTGGGAGCAGGCAGTTTCTGCCCCGGAAATTAAAGTCCAAGTCTTGGGAAAGGATATGGGGTGGGGGAGCCAGGGAACAAGAAGGGAGCCCAAAAGACACATTCACAGGAGCTGGCAGGACTAGATCCAGGCAGGGATCTGCAAAGGAAGCACTTGGCGGGTAAGCTCTGAAGCAAAGCAAAGAAGGGAAGCCTTTAAAAAATGGATTTGTCTGAGTTCAGCCTCAGGCAAGGAGCAGCTTCAATGTGGGCATCCAGTCAGTTCTGACGTCTTCTACAGGGTTTCCTCATTGTCCTTCAAAAAAAATTTTTTTCCTATTTTTTCGTAGTGTGAAACTCAGATAATTATACATAAAGCAAACCCTGCTCCATATTTTCCTTTTTCTCTCTCTCCTCTCTCTCTTTCCTCTTCCAGTTCCTTTCCCTCTTCTTCTCAGTTCCTTCTCCTCTCTCTCTCTTCTGTTTTTTTCCAGCTCTTCTTCTTTCAGTCTTAGGAAAGTCCTCCTCTTTTTCTTCCTCCATTCCATCTGGGAGTCACAGTATAAGCCTAACTACAGCTGATAAACCTAAGGATCATGCATGTGGGTCAGCTTGATCAAGGAAAAGGAAGGCAGAGGTTGGTCCAATAAAGAACTAGTGTCATGGACACCTGAATCCTTGGATGTAAAGTCCCCTTCAACCTTCCAACAGCTCATCCTTCGCCTTCACTTGACACAATTTCTCCATGTGCAGCATTCAAGATTTTGTCTCTTTTATTCATTGCCATAGCCCCAACATTTAGAACAATACCTGTCATGTCAAAGGAGCTCCATTAATATTTGTTGAAAGAGTGAATAGATATTCTAGATGACTAAGCAAATCTAGCTTCTTCCTTTCTACTATATTTCAATTTTGTGTTGTAAGTGTTGTAGCAATGCTGAATTCATTGTGAAAGTATGGTTCGAGACTTTTATAGGATAATTTCAGCATCAAGGATATTTCTAGCAGAAATTATTTTTTTAAGGTTTTACCTATCAACTAACTAACGTCTGGAAAACAACCTGTTGATAAATTAGGGAATCTCTATACTGTTCCTTTTTAAGCCTTAAAAGTACATCTTTTATGTACACAAAACAAGTGAAACAGCAACAAGATGACCAACTTTTACCTGTCTTTGCTACTAAGTATTCTTTACGTCTTTCCCAGTATAGAAGGTAAGACTGTTTAATGTAGATGAAAACCCAGCATAAAGTACTGAGCATTTGGCAAAACACCTCACTGTGAATGCTTAGTCTGTTTGCAAAGGCACTTTCACATTATAAACCCTTGATAACAGACATAGAGAAATATTTATTCCCTGTAAGAACTAAACACAGAGAAAATGTTGGATTTTCCTAACACGTTTCAGAATTGTGCTCTTTCTTGTGGTCTTCCTCAGAACTGGTGGGACAAGGCAGACCGTTTTTACTTTACAGATTGTCCTCTGATATTGCTGTTGTAGGGGAATTTTCTTGGGCTAAAAGAAAAAAAAAAAGGTCATCCTTTTACTTTCCATTCCAAAACCCTAGGGTTTCCAAACAGTCTCACAGATGTCTGTGATCTTAAAGAAATGCGATTGCTACAGTGCAGAGGGGAAATGGAAATAAAATCAAACTGGCCTAAATTAGGACAGCTGAGGAGACCCGTGGGTAGATCATATCAGAGCATGGCAGACCTTGGTTAATTTTTGAGGATGAGTCACGACATCCCATATCAAGGCGGCTGTCTTGTTCCTGGCTGGTTTTGGTGACTGCGGTTAAGGCGGGGAGTTAAACTTCAGTTCCTTGGTTTCATGGATTGTGAGCAGCTACAAGGTATGAAAAAAGCACCCATTAACTTTAGAGCCAGAGGGCTCTCGGGCTGCCTCCTGGCAGTGCCTCTGGCTGACTGCAGTGGCCTGGAATAAAACAAGAACCATCCTGGAGCCTTAGTTTACCTTTCTGCATAGTGGGGATGATGATGCCTCCCTGGAAGGGCTGCTGTGGGGACTGGCCCCCGGGGCCTGTCTGGCAGGACTCCCTCGGTTCCCCAGTTCTGATCCCAGTGTTCACCGGTAATCTTTCCGTGTCTCTGCCAGGTACCTCGGGATCACAAGGCCCCTCACGTACCCGGTGAGGCAGAATGGGAAGTGCATGGCCAAGATGATCCTCTCTGTCTGGCTCCTCTCTGCCTCTATCACCCTCCCCCCGCTCTTCGGATGGGCTCAGAACGTGAACGATGACAAGGTGTGCCTGATCAGCCAGGACTTCGGCTACACCATCTACTCCACCGCCGTGGCGTTTTATATCCCCATGTCGGTCATGCTGTTCATGTATTACCAGATCTACAAGGCCGCCAGGAAGAGCGCTGCCAAGCACAAGTTCCCCGGCTTCCCTCGTGTGCAGCCGGACAGCATCGTGGTCCTGAACGGCATGGTGAAGATCCAGAAGGAGGTGGAAGAGTGTGCGAACCTTTCGAGACTCCTCAAGCACGAAAGGAAAAACATCTCCATCTTTAAGAGGGAACAGAAAGCAGCCACCACCTTGGGCATCATCGTGGGGGCCTTCACCGTGTGCTGGCTACCCTTCTTCCTCCTCTCCACGGCCCGGCCCTTCATCTGCGGCACTGCCTGCAGCTGCATCCCGCTGTGGGTGGAGAGGACATTCCTGTGGCTGGGCTATGCAAACTCCCTCATTAACCCTTTTATATATGCCTTCTTCAACCGGGACCTGAGGACCACCTATCGCAGCCTGCTCCAGTGCCAGTACCGGAATATCAACCGCAAGCTCTCAGCCGCGGGCATGCACGAGGCCCTGAAGCTTGCCGAGAGGCCCGAGAGAGCCGAGTTTGTGCTGTAAGGTCATTTATCACTGTTTTCCTCTTATCCCCTCCGCCCTTTTATGCACCTTCTCGACGGGCATCACAGCTTCTCCTGCATCCGTAGCTAGCTTTTTCTCCACCGAACACGTCAGGTCTGAATTCACAATAGTACGGACGCCAGTCTCCCACCCAGTCAGATTCCAAAAGCCAAAGATAGGTACTTAGTTGGATTGCAAGGTGAGACTGATTTGCTGATGCATGATGATCCATGTGATTGACAACAAGGGAGGTGGTACTTCCCACTCCGTAAATGATATCCAGACTCTGTTCTTGTATCTGAATTCCTGCAAGATTATCGTTTTAATTCCTAATATCCTTTCCTCCAGTAAAACTGTTTTGATGGCCTCCTCTTTCACTGATACATTTGTCTTTGGTGAAAGGAAGCCCCAAAGATCTTTCCAGTACGCAGTGACGTTCACGTGGACTAAAAGGAAGCAGCCACGAAAACGGAGAGTGGTGGGTGGGGGAGATGCCAGGCCTGGACAAGGTCTTAAAAGCCATGGGAACTTTCGGGGAAGTGCTGCTGGCCGTCTTGGCAGTGGAGGACTCATAAAGAGTTGCTGAGTTTGATAAAGAGTTGCTGAGTTTGTCTAGGAGGCCTTAGGGGCTTTCCAGGAAGCAATTACAGATAGGTGTTGGGATCTGAAAAAGGATGGCCAAGGGCTGATGATGATAAGGAAATGGAAGTTTCACAGTGACCCATGTGTTAACATTTTGGCTTCGTAAAGAAGGAAGGAGACAGTATAGTAGCTAGAGTCATCAGGAGGTCTAATGAGGACTTTATTTTAAATTTGAGGCATAGGAGATACCATCATGTTTGAAAGCCAAGGGAAGAGAGACTTGGAATGGAAAGTTGGCAGGTGCAGGTGAGAGTGAGCAGATTAGTGTCAGGTACGAGAGAGAAGGAGGCATTCCTCTCCCCTGGGCCTGGCAGGAAGGAATAGACCAGAGAACCAGGGAACTCTCTAGCTGAGAGGGACCTTCCTGGCCATCTTGTCCAGTGCCTTCATGTGACAGAAGAGGCAACTGAGATTTGCTGAGTGAGGTGTCTTCCACTTAGCTAGTGTTGCAATGAAGTCTACATCCCACGTCACCTGAATCCTAGTGCTGCACATTTTTTCGTGTAAGTGGTCTGCCTTTATCTTACAACTTAATCTTACAACTTTATCTTTCAACTTTAAGCTGGAAGACTATAGCTGTGCTAATTCTTGAGCTGGATGTAGCTTCAAAGATACTCATTCTTGCTTCTACTACTCACAATCTGTTGTACCTATTAAATTGTTCACGATGTAAAAAGTAGCATTTAAAAAAAGAATACAGGCCAGACTCGGTGGCTCAGACTGTCATCCCAGCCCTGGGGAGGCTGAGGTGGGTGACTTGGTTGAGTCTGCGCGTTTGAGGCCAACCTGGGCAACTTGGCGAGACCTTGTCTCTACAATAAATCAAAAATTAGCCAGGTGTGGTTGTGTACACCTATAGTTCCAGCTACTTGGAAGGCTGAGGTGGAAGGATCACCAGAGCCCAGCAGGTTGACGCTGGGGTGGCCATGAGCATGCCACTGCACTCTAGCCTGGGCGACAAGTGAGACTCCGACTCCAACTCCAAAAAAAAATACAAATTTAGGTCCTAGAACATGTAGCATGAACAACCCCCAAGATCTTAGACTTGTAAGAGTCTATTGAATTGACTGCTGGGGTTTGCCCACTGGCTTCTGAATTCCTTCAGAGAAGGAGCTGTGTCTTTTTCAGATTTCTTTTTGCAGAAACCAGTGCAGTGCCTGACCCATAACAGATGATACATAAAAATTGTAACTACTAACAATTATTGAACACCTGCTACATGCTGTACACCATGCAGCCTGCAGAACAGGTGCTTCTAGCAGCCCTAATTTTCAGAAGAACATTGTGAAGCTCAGGGACATAAAGTGTCTGCCCTGAGGGCATATAGTCCCTCAGTGGTCCCTGTGGTGTGAATGAGACCAGTGCATATGCTTTTGACCATTATGGAGCACTACTTGTCAAATAATTTTGGTCATGAAGAGCTGCCGAAGGTGTCTGAGCCGGGATTGTAGCCATCAGCTCTCTAAGAAGACGACAGGAATAACATGCTACTCTAAGTATGTTAAGCTTATTAGACTTTGCGTACCATGGGAGGACACAGAGTCCTGATAGTTTCTCAGATGAGGGAAGTAAGGCAAGGATGTTGATAAAGTTTTAGGGCTTGGGCTAGATGATTTTTTTTTTTTTTGAGTCAGAGTCTCACTCCATCTCCCAGGCTGTAGTGTAGTGGTACACTCATGGCCACCATAGCCTCGACCTGCTGGGCTCAGGTGATCCTTCTGGTTCAACCTTCCAAGTAGCTGGAACTACAGGTATGTACCTCCACACCTGGCTAATTTCGTGATTTATTATAGAGACGAGGTCTTGCCATGTTGCTCAGGATGGTCTTGAACCCCTGAGCTCAGGCAACCCTCTTGCCTCCACCTCCCAAAGTTCTGGGATTACAGGCATGAGCCACTGCGTCCTGCTGGGCTGGGTAAATTTTAAGATTGGGAATTAGTGAGGACTGGGCAGAGTTTCTGACATAATAGCTTTGAATTGGTGGGTGCAGCTAGATGAGGGCTTTGAAGCAAGTTTATTTTTAATTTATTTTCATAATTTTTAGACAGAGTCTCATTTTGTCACCCAGACAGGAGTATAGTGGCATGATCATGGCTCACTGCAGCCTTGACCTCCTGGGCTCGCGCGATCCTTCCTCCTCAGCCTCCCGAGTAGTTTGGACTCCAGGTGTGCACCACTATGTCTAGCTAATTTTTTTTTGATATTTTGTAGAGACAAGGTCTTGCCATGTTGCCCAGGCTGGTCTTGAACTACTGGCCTCAAGCAATCCTCTCACCTTGGCTTCCCAAAGTGCTGGGATTACAGGTATGAGCTAGTGTGCCTGACCTGAAGCAAGTAATAATGAGCAAACTGTTAGTCTTGATAAGTAAGTGATTTCAGTTGGTATGCAATCTTTCCTTCTGGCAGCAACTATATCTTTTCTTTTCTTTTCTTTTTTTTTGAGTTGGAGTCTCACTCTGTCGCCCAGACGCGAGTGAAGTGGCATGCTTCCGGATACTGCAGCCTCAACCTGCTGGGCTCTGGTGATCCTTCCGCCTCAGCCTTCCAAGTAGCCAGAACTACAGGCACGCGCTGCCACATCTGACTAACATCTGACTAATTTTTGATTTATTGTAGAGATGAGGTCTCGCCAAGTTGCCTGAGTCTTGAACCCTCAGGCTCAGGCAATCCACGTGCCTCGGCCTCCCAAAGTGCTAGGATTACGGGCTGAGCCACTGAGCTCAGCCAAAGCAACTCTATCTTAAAACAAGTAGCTAGGTTATTTTGCCTGTTCCCAGGATTGTTTAGCACAGTAGAACGCAGGCACGTTGGTTTCAGTTCCCAGGAGTATCTGAACTGAGAGATGTGTTTCGGGAAGGTCTCTCTGGCCATAGTGAGAAGACCAGACTAAGGGAAAGACTGAGGGGAGGAGTCCAGTTAAGCAGCCGGTGGCAAACTCGGAAAGAACAAAGTCCTGACCTAGAAAACACTGCCATATTTGCATACTCCCTATACAGCCAAAGAACTTGAGGATAACTCTATTGATTACTTCAGGTAATAATGCACAGGTAAATCAGATAGATTGCAAAATGATAATTTTTAGGATGCTGTAACAAAAACAGGTTTTCCAAAGTAAAAAATAACAGCCCACATTTGCTGAAGACTCACCCTCAGGAACAATGCTGAGCTCTGTATGTGAATTTTATCACTTAATCCTCAAAATGTTGTGATCGGTTGGTTTTCTTCATCTCCATTCTGAAAAGAACAAAACAAGGACTTGGAGGGGTCAGATGCTGTTTCCCCTCAGCCATCCCTTTAGAGAATGAGAGAGCTGCATTGAGCCTAGAAAGTCTGTGTTCAAAAGTACTTTTAACTTTCAGGCGACTGTGGAATACATTTATAGCAATAAATCAGCTAACATAAAGTCCAAGGATGTTTGCCTTTGTATCTTTAGCTAGTCTGGAGGCTTGGATGTTGTTTTCCTGTTAGTCTAAGACAGAGGTCGGCAAACTTTTACTGTGAAAGGCCAAATAGTAAGTATTTAAGCTCTGCCAGCCTATTATGGGCTCTGTTGAAAGTACTTGTCTCTGCCATTGTCCTCTACAGAAGTAAACACATTAAATGCTTATGTACCAATAAAAGTTTATTTACAAAAAAGAGGCTGCCAGTGGGATTTGGCACACATAGTCTGCTGTCCCCCTTTCACATCTCTCTGAGTTTGAATTTATAATTATAGGATATTCAAACTATTTAGGACGACTGGCCTAAAAATATTCATCGACTTGGGGAAGTTTCTAGTGACAGAGCTATTCTGTGGCTGTCATGCATTGAGGAGGACACAGAAAATGTTTGATGTCTTTCCCGTCCTCGTTCATATATTTCCGTGGGAGACACCATGCATAAACACAGACATATGTGCTGTGGTCTAAATGTTTGTGTCCCCTCTCCCCAAATTCATGTGTTGAAACTTAATTCCCCATGCAGTAGCATTAAAATGTGAATCCTTTAAGAAGTGATTATGTCATGAGGGCTTCTAAGAGACCCGAGGAGGCGTGGTCACTCCTTCTGCCATGTGAGGGATACGGCTAGAGGGCACCATCTAGGAAGCAGATAACAAGCCCTCCCCAGACACCAGATCTTCTTTTTTTTTTTTTTTGAGTTGGAGTCTCACTCTGTCGCCCAGACTGGAGTGCAGTGGCCACTCCCGGCCACCACAGCCTCGCCTGCTGGGCTCTGGCGATCCTTCTGCCTCAGCCTTCCGAGTAGCCGGAATTACAGGCATGCGCTACCACGCCCGGCTGATTTTTTGATTTATTGTAGAGATGAGGTCTCACTGCCCAGGTGGGTCTCGAACCCGCGGACTCAGGCAATCCACTCACCTCAGCCTCCCAAAGGCGCGGGATTACAGGCTGAGCCACCGAGTTTGGCTGTAGATCTTCTGGTGCCTTGATCTTGGACTTCCTGGCCCCTCGAACCATAAGAAATACATTTCTGTTGTTTATAAGCTACCCAATTTATGATGTTTTGTTCTAGCAGCCTGAATAAACTAAGGACAGATGCACACTCACCCTTCTTGTAGTGAGGAATGGTGGAGACAGGAAATGCTGTAGGATTCAAAGGAAAGGATAATAAGTCAGAGCTTACATGAACCCTGTTCAGGGAAGACTTCCTGGAGGATGTGGGCTTGATTATGTCCAGGAAAGTGGCCAAGGAATGTATCCCTAAAGGAGAGCAGCAGCCATGGTATTGCAGGTGAATGGGACATGTTTTGTAGAGGCACCAGTGTAGGAGTTCATGCAAAGGACTGAAGCTAAACATTGGGGTAAGAAAACTGGTGGAGATCAACATAGGAAAGAGATAAAGTTCTGAAGGATGTTCTATGTCAGCTCCAAGAATTTGGATTTTTAGCATTGATAAGTGGCTTTTAACCAGGGGTTATTTTGGAGATACTAGGCAATGTCTGGAGACGTTTTGTGCTAATCACAAGTGGGGTGGGGCCACTGCTGGAATCTACTGGGTAGAGGCCAGGGACGCTGCTAAAGATTGTATAATACACAGGTCAGTCGCCCATGAACAAAGAATGATCCAGTCCATAGTGCTAAAGTTGAGAAACCCTGGTATCAACAGAAGGAGTCATCAGTCAACCTACAAGTAGGGGAACGGAGGAAACCCAGTGGTGAAGACTGATTCAGTGGCACTGTGTGGATGAATCAGAAGGTAGTTGGCTTGTTTTCCTCAGAAACATTTGAGGGTCTACCATGCACAAGGCATGGTGCCGGGCATGATAGGGATAGAAAGATGGATAGGCAACAGTCCTAGTCTCTAGAAGCTCTTAGTTTAGTGGTTGAAGTGGTAGTGGTGTCTGGTAGAAGATCCATAACCAGGGTAATAACCCACACAGTCCATAATCTACACAACTACATTCAACTAAACACTAGTTGGTTAGTCCAAAACAACTAATAACTCTATTGGGAATGACATTACATCCTCTGGAGTCTCTGGAAGGATGACACAGGTATCCAAATCACAGCTCACCTTCTTGGAACTCTTTGTTCCCCCGCCTCTCTCTCTAGCTCTCACTTATCCTGTGGCCACAAAAAAGACTCTGAGCATCTCTAATTCCTGCAGCCTTTTCCTTCTTATCTGGCTGTTGGAGGTTCTAATCTGTTTTACTTTTTCTCTTCACTCTTTGCCTTCTTGGCTTTAATACTTTTTCTCCTGCGTAATAGTTTTCTTTTTTTTTCTTTGTAAACAATCTACTAGACTGTGTGTTGATACTCCCAAATATTTAAACATTTCTTCCCATTCTTTTGATCAGCATAACCCGAGCCTCAGGAGTCCAGCAGGCACTCGAGAATTTTCCTTGGGGTAATGGAGTGAATAGAGGGAAAAAAGCGGTGAATACTTTTGCACTGGTAATTTTGATTTACTACTATCAATTTTAATTCTTTTCACAAGTATTCAACGATTGGTAATGCAAGATCAAGTGTGATAAATTAGGAATTCTTTCTAATTTAATGACTATGAATTTGCTTTGAATTGCTGTAAATTGCTTTTAAATATTATGTTTTGGTGAATTTTGTTCTTTGACACTGTTTATGAACAATATTGAAGAGTGATTTCTAAAATACATCTATATAAGAGAATGTCATGAAAGTGTTTTGAAGCAGCTCTTCCTTTCCTGCTGCCCCCTTTTTCCTTGGTGATCGTATTGTCTCTCTCTTCAAAGAGCCTCTTATAATCCCTGTCAACTGCAGTGGTTCTTAGTGGCGGCTTGCAGCAGAGTAACCTTGGGTTTCTGCCATGAATTCTGCCAATATAGTGCTTCAGGGTTTGTGCTGAAGCTCTCGAGTTTAGAGAGATGCTCCCCTTTCTGTGTGGAAACCAGTAATTTAGAAAAATAAAGTGAAATGGATCCCAGAAATAATTGGGAAGAGGCATCAAGGCTCCTGGAACCCTGGGTATCTGTGATGGGATACTACCTTAAAGACCGAAATCAGCAATAAACAAAAAGTTTGCTATTTCCTGGACTTTTCTTCCCCACAGAGGTATTTTCCTCCTCCTCATCAGCTAGCTTTAAGGACTTTATTTTTTTGTTAAATCATCAACTAGTAATAATAAGGTTATGTGCTTCATGCTTTTCAATTGCCTACAGTTTAACTTTGTAACATCTTTCTAAAGTGGGAAAGGCAGGTGGTTGCCCTGTCTTGCTTTTTCCAATATATATATTTTTGTTTTCCTGGTAAATAATAGATACACATAGCACAGTACAAAATCACACAGTGCAGAGGAAGACAGAGGAAAACTAAGTCTTGGGAAGACATTCTTAGGAAGAAAATGTTCATGGTGGAAATCAAGAAGGAGGGGGTATTTGAAGTGGTTCTTGAGGAAGGAGTAGGCTTTTAACCAGAAGGAATAGTAGTGGGGGAGTCTGCTCAAAGCATAGGTGACAGCATGGACAGAGGGGCACAGATGTGAATGGAGTGAACAAGGAGCCTGGGACATGTGTTCAGCAACACTGGCAAGCTGGGTAGCCTGGGGTAATCACAGAGGGCCAAGGGGCAGGAGTTGGGGAGGGAGACAAGGGTGTCTGAACAGGACTGAGACCAGGGCTTCACAGGAGAAGGGAGGTCTATTAGGGGCCCGCACCAGGAGGGTGTTGAGACCAGGAGAGTGGCAAAGGGTGTCTGAGATGTTTGGGTTTTGGACTGGCTAGACCATCACAACTGGCTGGCCGGTGGGTGATGAGGCAAGGGAGATGTTAGAGACAGTGCTGTGGCTTGGAGGAATTCAGTACCAGTTGGGTGAGCTGAGCCCACTGGGATGCAGAGGACGCACAGTCTCTCCTCTGTGCCAAGAAGAGGCAGAGGATCCAGCCTAGGGATAGTGTCTGTGGAGCACAACTGGGAGCACAGCCAGTTTCCAGTCCCCACTTTCAGATACTTGGGAGCCTGGAGCACTAGTATGTCTAGAGTGTGGCCCTTGTCATTAGCGCCATTGTGTGAGGCTGAGGGGCAAAGCCAGAGACCATGTCACCAGGAAAATCCATCCATTGAGTCACCCATCTAAAGAGGGGGCAGATATCAGAGGAAGAGGGGTGGGACTAAGGCAAGACAGCCAAGTGAGCGGGGTGATGCTTTAAATGGGGCAGGGAAGCTGAGACTCAGAGTTCAGTTCCAGGCCCTGGGACTTCACAGGCCTAACTTTTAAGCTCCTGATGTAGTGTGGTAAGTCGAGGCCTATGGAGGTGTCCAGTTAGGGGAGTGTGACTCTCTACCAGGAGAAAGAGACGTTTTCTGGGCCATCGGCTGACCCTTCTCCATGGCTCATGCTACTTCTGTGAGTCTGGGAGGGAGAGAGGGAAGTAGGGCTTCCTGGTCTCTGTACACATAGCTTACTATAACACACCTTCCTATGTTTGAAGGGGAGAATCCTTCTCACTGGTAGTCATGATTTTTTAGTCATTATTCTTTTCAAGAATGGCAAGTGCTATATAGTATTTTGCAAGGATTGTTGACAGCAGAGTCATTTTTGGCTACAGCTGTATTAAATAAGTGAATTTCTAAATGGGTTATTTGGGGCTGATTTGCAAATATATTAAGCCTTTGGCAACTTGTAGAAGTTACAAAATTTGTGAAAAGGGCCACAGTGCTTTTCCTTTCCCTTTAAAGACACTCATCATCCCGTAGAAGCCACAAATGATTCAAATTACTGACTGCTATAAAAATTAAATCCACCCACCACAAAATGAAAACTCCCATTTACGGCTCTGCTAAATCATTTTCTTGTCTCTCTCTCTCTGTTTCTTACAGACAAAACTCTGACTACTGTAGAAAAAAAGGTCATGATTCATGATTGAAAGCGGAATAATGGAGATGAAATAAACAAGGCAAAACAGAGGTGGAAGCAGAACAAAATCATTTGCCAAGACTGCAGAATGGAACGCGGCTTCTGTCCTTTCTTGGGATGGTCGAAATGTGACAAACAGTGTGATCTGTTGTAAAAAGTATCTTCTGAGAGAGACGGTGACCTCTTCTTTTTTTTTTTTTTCTGTGGATCAGTGCTGTTGTGTGTTCTCAGTTTAAGACAGCCAGATCATCTCAGCAGAAAGCACAGACACAGAACTGAGTTCCAGAAAGGAAGCAGTTTCTGGTGCTTTGCGTATGTCCATTCCATGCAATCAGGAGAAAGTTCCAGCGCACACTTCCCGTGCTTCTGAGTCTAGGCGGTGTGGTACATATTCAGGAATCATTCATGAGACAGAATGTATTTTGTTGTATGACAGAAGGGTTTTTCCAAGCAAACTGCGGTAAAGCATAGTGTTGAATATGTTGCATGTCCATGTTAGAAAACAGAATCCCATCATTCACTAATACAAATGATTTCCCAGAGCAGTGTTTGTTTCGAGCTTCTGTCAAATAGTTTGGCTTTTCTGCAGGGTCCTTGTGACTTTCCCATCAATGTACTTTCTCTGTCAACTCACATATTGTTATGGTATAACTCAGGAACAGATCTCAGGACGGAGAGAAGCCTAAAACCTGAGTAAAGCTTTTTCTTGTGTTCATACTTCTGAGAGGTCCTGAGAGGTGAAGGGTTTGCCTTCTGGGAGAATTTTTATCTGGGTGATGCGTGATTGCTACCTAACTGCATTGTAATTAACATGATGACTGGCATGTTTTTGACTCTCATTTTATATAAGGGTGCAGTGGACCCATAGTCTGGTCCATAACCGTGTGTTATATGGCAGGAGTGTGGGAATAATGGATTTTCCATGAAAACTTGTGATGCTTCTGGAGATGGGGCATAAACATGTTCATTCTCGTTGAACCATGTTGTATTCAACTGAAATGTGTGAATCGGAGGTCACCTGGACCACTCTTGGGAAAGGATCCAGAGCACCATTCTGTTGCTTCTAGAGAATTTGTTTTTGTGTTCTCTGTATCTTAAATCAAATGTGTACCTAAGAAATTTTGTCCTCTCACTCCCCCACTGCCCCCACCCCAAATGGTAGACATTAAGGGCAGGTAAGGAAACAGAAAAGATCATTTTGCAGATAGCATTTTTTTAAAAGACTAGTACTTTATAATCAGTATGCACTAAGGAGACAGAAGACAGGAGATCAGAAAAGAGGAGAACTTGTACCTGCAAGGGGGGGAAAATGAGTGCAATCCTTGATTTGATTAGAGAGAACTGACAGAGAATATTATTTTCCTACAATAAAGAAAGCTGTCCTTTCACAGGATAATGTGGAATTCCAATGTGGATTATGGACTTCTTCCAACTTTCATTGACATTGCTTCATACCAGACATGGGAAGGACTGCCTTTCCTGAAAGGGAAGGAGAGCACTGTCCTTTCAGACAAAGCTTGTACAAATTCCTGAGCCGCAGATTTGCTAAAGTGACCGTATATACTTATATTCATAATTTAAATGATTATTTATGGTCAGATACATATTGTTAAACTTGAAAAAATGTTTTATTACATGACATCAAATAAAGTTTATTTGTAGCTGAACTAAAGCAACTTAAGTAAAGGTTTTTAATTCAAGGTCTTACTTCATACATGTTGGTGTACAAAAATGGCAGGACAAACATGTTTGCTAAAATCCTGACAGGTAGCTGAGACAGTTCTGTGATTAATTGCATTTCATCGTGATGACTCATCCACTTAGTAACTTTTCATTTTTAAACTTTTCATTTTTCAAATCATTTCTTGATTTGAGGAATAGGCATTGACTGGGCTCCTGCCACATTCTGTCCTGCAGGCATTAAGGGCCCAGAGGTGGGTATGGTGCAGTCCTTGCATTTGGGGAGTTTGCCATCAGGTGGGAGGTGGACATATCTGAGATTGTCACACTATCGTATAGTAAGTGTTCTAGCACGTTGCAGGGAGTGATAGCTTTCTTTCCTATAGTATAAGACAGGGCGTTGTAACTTGGCTTGATTCATGTTTTCTAGTATGTTTACTCTTTTTTTTTTTTTTTGGAGTCTCACTGTGTCACCCAGGCTGTCACCCAGATTGTGCAGCGGCACAATCATGGCTCACCACAGCCTCAACCTCCTGGGCTCAGGCAGTCCTTCTGTCTTGGCCTCCTAAGTAGCTGACACTATAGGCACATGGCACCACACTTGACTAATTTTTAAATTTTTTTGTAGAGATGATGTCTCGCTATGTTGCCCAGGCTGGTCTCAAACTCTTGGGTTCAAACAATCCTCCTGCCTTGACCTCCCAAAGTGCTGGATTATAGGCATCAGTCACGACTCCTGGGCATTTAATTTTTTATTCGGACCCTCGTTATTCAAATTGACTGTTTAACTTTCCTGATTTGAATATCTGATTATCCAACTCCCTGCTTCATTCTAGGTGCAGATTCTGGACTTCGGGTATACGCTGTGCTTTAAATTTCAGCAGCCACGTGAAAGGAAAATGTAGAAGTTGAAAGGGAAAGAGAAAAATAAACAATAGCATTTCACATATGACATAATTTGTGCCAAAGGCACGGCTTTTGTTTTAACTAAGAGTTGGGAAAATCATTGAAGTAAACATTATATATATATTTTAGGACGGTTCAAGCCAGAACAACTATTATGACTAATCTCTCTTCTCACTCTAGGGTATCAGCTGTCATCTTCTGGCAAGACTGAGTGTTGGGAAACCATGCTTGGGAAGTAAAGTACTTACTCATAAGAGAGAATGGAATCACTGTTGCCTTAGTGTTTCGTGTTATTCTATAAATATTAAACAGGAGGCACTCAGAGTTCCTAGGTTTTGTAGGAAATGTTTCATAATTCAAAGCATTTACCATGGTGTCATGTGCTTGAGAGGCTTGTATATGTATTTGATAATCATATTTTCATGAAGTTTTATCAGGTTCATTGATTGCAGTCATAAGATCAACAGTATAAATAGAAAATGCAGGCAATTTTCCACACAGTTTATGCTAATATAATTATTTTCTGAGTTAGCATCTGGAGATGGTGGGCATCTTCCTTTCAGCATTTTAATTGTCGGCTGAGTTTTCAATTTAATGGCTATAAATGTTGACAAATCTTGAATTTTTTTTTTTTTTGAGTTGGAGTCTCACTCTGTCACCCAGACTGGAGTGCAGTGGCCGCTCCCAGCCACCGCAGCCTCGACCTGCTGGGCTCCGGTGATCCTTCCGCCTCAGCCTTCCAAGTAGCCAGAATTACAGGCATGCGCTACCACGCCCAGATGATTTTTTGATTTATTGTAGAGATGAGGTCTCACTTCCCAGGCGGGTCTCGAACCCACGGGCTCAGGCAATCCACTCGCCTCAGCCTTCCAAAGGTTCGGGATTATAGGCTGAGCCACCAAGCCCGGCCAGATCTTGAATTTTTAAAAAATTGTAAATGCTCCCTCTTATCTCAGGACCTCCACACATGCTTTCCCCTTTGGTCTGGAATATTCTTCCTGCTCTCACTTATTTGATGTATGTCTTCATTGTTTTCCAGTAATTCTTCAAGGGCAGGGACCATATCTATTTTCCTCAGTGATATACTTATTACCTAGCACCATGCTAGGAACATATACGTGGTAGGCATGTAATAGGTATGTCTTAATGGGAAGGGGAGAAAGGGAGGGAAGGAAGAAGGAACCAGTATTGACTGGCACCTTTTAAAAATTTATATGAGGTAATAGAGGAGATTAGGCATGATCAAGTGGCATGCCCAGTGAGTGAAAGAGAGAGAACTGGAATTAAGCTCTTGTGTGTGCCCTTCAGGGCAAACCCTTCCACTACATGGTGCTGCTTCTCATGCATGAGCTACTCGTATCAAGAGAGTTACCTTTTCTTAATTTTCTGCACTAGTGGAGCAGAGTCGTGTATGTGCTGTGGCCCATATGTTGAAACTTGTTTATCTGCAGCTAGCCAGATGGTCTGTAACAGTACACAAAGAAGCCATTTGGACACGTTCAGAGGGTCAGCACATTTTGAAAACACTAATGCATGTTGTGATGTTGTTTCTTATTCACTCTAAACTTACAGTGAAATACCTTGTTAGATATTACATGTAAAACATGCAGACTTTGAGAACCAACCCAGAAGCTTATTTAATTGGATCATTCTTTAAACTAACTTGTTTTGTCTTCAACAAAACAATGTTTGAAAAATTCAAGTTCTCTGGAGAAAGAAAATAATTTTTTTAACTTATATTTTGCTTTTTAAGTTTCTACTGGGTTAAATTAAAAAAAAAAAACATTTAAACCTGCTAATGCAATATAAGCTAACAGATACGATGTGATCATCAATAAAATGTAAAAGCAAATTTTACTATGGTTAATGTGAAATGGAAAGTGAGAGAAGATGACAAGGATCAGAAAATAGATTTGCTGAAAACAGTTCTGTTGAGTCTTTGGAACTTCAACAAAAAAGCCAAGATGAAAAGGAATTACATCTGTTCTAGTAGAGGGAAAAAGTGGTCATCCAAAAGAACAGATGGTAAGAAAATATCTGGAGTTTATCTTTGACATGCATTATGTAATATTTTGGGGGCCAAATTGTCTTTTCTTAATTATATTTTGATTAGGTGGTTATTAATCTTTATTCTTTGAGCCCACACGGTCTCACAGCAGGAGAGGAGGCTCAGAGCTGTAATGAGAGACAGCAGAAAATCAGCTGTACACACAAAGGTTGTCATGGATAATTCACAAAGTGAATAGTCCACCTCCAGGATGGGGAGAAAAAAATGTCTCCTCAGAGAATCACAGAACTGCAGAATCTCCTGGATGATCTTATCCAACCCTTGACTGTTTTGCAGGTGAGAAAACACTAAACTGGAGCCATGTTTTTTCTGAATTTGGTTAAAAAAGCATGGTCTAGAAAAATGCTTTGCTTTACATATTTGGTGAAGAAATCTTTTTCTTCTTCTGTCACGTAGCCATGGTTAAAAAAATGTAATGAGTGAATTATAAGAAAAATGAAGTGAAAAAAACATATAATAGATATGACTAATTTTTCTTATTGGGTTTAATAGACATAAGATTGCATTTTAATAAATATGATCAGAGCACACATAATGTAGAGGAAAATAAAAGAATCACCAAAAATGACCATTGTTCATTGGATGAGAATGGTTACTTAGCTGGGGAAAAGCTAGTAGTTACCTAGGTGAGAAATGATTGTAACATCATCACTGCATGTGCACCACCCTAGGTTTGCCAGGCTCATGCCACAGCATGCTGTGCTGAGCATGATGCAGGAAGTACATCCTTATAGGAACGATGAGGACCCACAAGGAACAGCTTGTCTCAGAACTATACCTGTAGTAGTGTTGGTACTGAGAAGCTCCCTGCTTCAACGTGTACTCTGAAATAGGAAGCACAGCCTTGAAACAACTGGAACTTTTTTCCTTGTGTTTTTCCTCTTTAGTCATCGACAATTAAATTGAATACGCAGTACTGACCTGAAAGCATTAAAAGGTATTTTATTTTTAGAATGATTATATTAGCAAAATTGTTCTTAAAGTAAAGGAAGATCCTACATTTTGACGAAGTGTCACCAATGGAGTTCGAAGGCAAAGTGATTGCTATCAAGTAACCGTACCACCCATATCTTCAACCTAGTGTTTTCCAAAGTTCACTCTGAATAAGAATTATCTAGGGAGCTTATTAAATATGAAGATTCCTTGGCCCCCCCTTTCAAGAGATTCTTGTTATGTGTTGGTTTGGGATGCAGAGTGAAGAGAGGTTTTTAAGCTGCCTACCAGGTGATTCTTGTACAGTGGGTGTCTGGTTCCACATGTTGAGAATTGCTGTTTTCAAACATGTTGGAAAATTGAATTATCTAGCCAATTCTGTGTGCTATTAGTGTGGAAAAGTATGCTCAATGTGAAATAATACCCAAATCATTGTAAATGGTTATAGAATCTTGTCAAAGAAATATATATCATGCCCACAAGCTCTCTCTTACATACTCTTTAGTACTCAGTGCTTACTGTTGGCACCAAAAATCCAGCAAACTTGTAGAGAAAAGTAATCCACAGATCACCTTAGTTTACAAATGGGATATTTAAGGACATATAGATGCTTAGGTTTAAGTGATTTCTGTTGCTTTGGTTTCTTTCTAATTTGATTTTAAGGCCTCTTTGTCAAGACAGGCACTCTCAAGCCAAGACAGGCACTCTCAAGGAGAGCCCCGACTCTCCTTGAGGTAGGGGTGTGTTGGTCAGGTGAGATGCAAGAGGAGGAGAAATCAAAACTCATGAAACAGAGGAAATTATTACTCACAGGTCCCTCCCTGAGAGTTTAGGAGTGCTGATGGGAAGTCTAAAGATGACAACCATCAGGTAGAGAGCTAGACAGAGAGAGAAGCTGTAGGACTATTATTATTAAGGTCTATGGTTATCCCTTGGTTTTTCTCCAGAGGGCTGTGGATTGGTTAGTTTACAGAAGACACGTTGACCCTGATGTTGACCATTAGGTTCTGTGTGGCCAGCAGTTATGGCATATCTTGGATTTTGGGTTAGTGAGCTGGAGAACAAGTGGGATAATATCACAACCACCCACACAGTGAGAGGAAGTTTTAA